ATAATATGCTCTATATAACTATAAGTTATATAAAATATGTAATAATAACATGAAGACCCCCTACATAGACAAGGCTGAGAAGTATTCCTATGTCAAAGAGTGATAATCAGGATTATTGGAGAGCATGTCTTAGTGGATATTGCAAGTGGTTTTTAAAGTCCTTATATTTTAGGAACATGGTTAAATTCCTCAGATTTTGTTTCTTATATAAAATTGTCATTTTATTTAAAAAAAATCAGTTCTGAAGATCAAACCCAGAACACTAGGCTAGCCTCGGTCACTGAGCTGTGTCTCCAGCCTCCTCAATATTATTCTTGATATTTTCCTTCTAGTCCACTCCCAGGGTTTCTGAAAGCTATTCCTCCACTTCCTTGTTCCATCTTTTCACCTAAAATAATAAAATAAATGTAAACTGTACTGAGGCTTTAAAATAAATATTTCCTACACATTTTGACACATGTTATTTCTATTCATAATTCTTAACTAAATTTAGACCTTTTTTTTTTATTATTAATCCAATGTGACCTGAAATTTCTGCATTGACAGCACAATGTGAGACATTGGGCTTATTCACTTTGGCTACAGATAAAGCCATCATCTTGAAAACGGCTCTTTCTGACAAAAAGGTGTTCTTTTGAAATAAAGTCTTATTCAGTACATCCCTCTTAGAGTTAATGTGAATTTTAGTGCCTCTAATTTTAGATTGAAGTGAAGTCTAGAATAAAACCCACCAGCTGACAATTGAATTTATAGATAGTTGTGAATATTTCAGGCTTGAATAATAGAGCTGTAGAATTTCAGAGACCGAGAGCTGGAGAATTAAGACTGGCTGCGATCTTAGGTTATAATGTAATGGCGTCTAGGAAGTGTTCAGTGTAATGAGCTCCACTGCTGTTAGGAGGCAGCTTGTTCTTTGGGGGATTCTGTTTGGGCGTCACTCACCAGGGTGGATCAGCAGCCAGGCTGGGGGCGTTCTGTTCCCTTTCTGTTTACGGGTGACCAGTAGAGAAGTTATCTGAGAGGCCAAGGCCGACGGTCTCTGTGTATACCCTCTCTGCCGCTGCTGGCTTAGCTATTTTTGTTTATGCTTTTAGCTGCACTGGGGTTGACCTCATGGCCTCATGCAAGTTCACTACTTCTGAGCTATACCCTCATCCTTTTTGTGTGTGTAGTTTGTATATTTGTATGTGAGAGAGCATTTGTGTGTTTGTGTGTATGTGTGTGTGTGTGTATGATCATGTATGTACAGATGACCATGTGTGATCCTCTGTTTTGAGGTCAGAAGACAACCTTGGTTGTTCATTCTTAGGTGCCAGCCATCCACTCTTTTACTTTTTCCCCTGTCCTTCACTTCCTTGTCCTCCTGTTCATTCTATCTATCATCTATCTATCTATCTATCTATCTATCCATCCATCCATCTATCTTTTATCAATTAATCTATCCTATATCTATCTATACGTATGTATGTATGTATGTATGTATATATGTATCTATCTATCTATCTATCTATCTATCTATCTATCATCTATTCATCTATATCTATGTATGTATATATGTATGTATGTATGTATGTATGTATCTATCTATCTATCTATCATCTATTCATCTATATCTATGTATGTATATATGTATGTATGTATCTATCTATCTATATGACATCTGTCTATCCTCTATCTGTCTGTCTATCTATCTATCTATCTATCTATCATCTATTTATCTATTTGTATGTGTGTGTCTGTCTATCTATCTATCTATCTATCTATCTATCTATCTATTATCTGTCTATCTATCTAAAATTTTGAGACAGAGTCTCTCACTAGCTTGGAATGTGACAAGTGTGCTAGTATGCCCAAGCATCCCCCTTTTTTGTTTCCTCAGTCCTGGGATTACAAATACATGCCACCAGTGCCCAGCAGATTTTTTTTCCTTTAATGTGGATTCTGGAATTGAATTCAGATAGCACTGTCTCTCCAGGCCTCGTATTTTCTGTTTTGAGACACCATTTAAGTTGCATATGCTGGCCTTAAACTCACAGTTTGTAGGTGAGACAAGTTTTAAATTTGGGGTCCCCTCTTCTCAATCTGGCTAGCACATAGGATTACAAGCATGTGCCCTCAGGCCCAAACACATATGTTTCAAAGACTTTTAAACTAAAAATAATTAATTATGTGTATATGGCAGAAGGTTGTATGCACATGAATACAGCGTCTGTAGAGGCCAGAAGGTCTATAGGACCCCTTGGAGCCAGAGATGCAGGCAACTGTGAGTTGAAGGTTCTGGGAACCAAACTCATGAATGTCTGCAAGAGCAGTTCATGCCCTCAAGAACTGAGCCATCTCTCTATCCCATAGTCTTATTATAGACTGTAAACAAGCATTATTGAAACCTCTGCTGTTTTCTATACATTTTTGCTCCAAAGCTTGGAATGAGACATGATGCTACTTTTTCTAATTCCTGGTTATATAATCTTCATTATACTTCAGAATACCTGATTAATGACAATCTTATTTGTATTTTCAATAGGCAGAACTTATTAATTAAGGGTGCAGTTTATGTTGGAAAAGAACCACATGTAATCTACAGCACAAATCCGGTTTGTTTGCTTTCATTTGTGACTGGAGTGACCAGATTCCATTTAGAAGATCCTGTCTCCATTCCAGGGGCTTTCTTGGCAGCAACACCCTTCAACTCCCTGCTAGCATCCAGGTTACTGTAAAGTATGGACTGAGATTTTGAAAGAGACAGCCAACTAAAGTTCCCTCATTTTTCATGGATAGGTCTGAACAATGTATTGTTGACATGTACACAGTGATGACTTAGCAAAGAGCTGCCCTGTTAGTTTCTGGCCTGGTCCCTTAATGTCTTCATCTATAAATTTTAGAAGCACAGGAGAAAGCCCACGGGGGACAAAGATTGAGATGAGTGATTACTAAGTTTGTAGAGAAAGGAAGAGGGATGTCTGAGAAAAGGTGGTAAGTTTTGTGACCAGGAATCTCAAAGCAGTGTCTCACTGGTGGACTGGACAGAGGTACCAGAAAAAAGAAAGTACAGGGTGGTGACGGCAGGCAGTGGAAGAGTTAATTGCCAAAGCTACTCGAGAAAAGAAGGGGAGAGAAACCATCTAATGTTTAGTAGCCAGTAACTTCCAGCTGGTAGCCCAAGATCATGATGTATGGACAAGCCATCCAGTAATAAGTGAACTGCCAATGTAACAGTTTTAAATTAAAAGGATGTTGGGTTGCAGACCTGCTGTAAGTCAAGCCGACCCGCTTTCCTTCAGATACCCACTTGAGGAGAATGCTTAGCCCAGAGTGCAGGCAGGGGGATGAGGAGAAAGATCTATTAATTACAGTGCTCATTAGCAATGACAGGGACAAGGAGATTCAGTGGGGAGAGGATACTGCCACCAGGACTGGAGATCATTTTTTCTTTCCTTAGCTTTTGGGGAAGGGACAGTACCAGTGGGTAATGAACACAAGGAGCTCTTTGGGTGCCTTTTTCCTTCTTTTCACACATGGTCATGTGGCTTGGTTTCAGGAAGCAGAGAAATTCCCAGAGGGAAAGATATTTGAGGAAGAGTTGAAGCCCTGCCCTTGTGCTTTGTTTTTGAAACTGCTCACTTCAAAGAGTTGGGTAGACATTTCTGATAGAAAATCCCATAGCATCCTCCCTTTATCTAAAAGGAATTGAAGCAATGGGGGGAGGGCGTCATGGAGGAGAGCATGAAATTTGTTCGGTGATGAGATATCATTAGATTTATAGTGAAAGTGATAATTGCATCCGTTTGGTTATACTGTGACTACTCCCCCAAATTCTAGAGAATGACCATCACACACAGTAGGATCCCCATAAATCAACTTTCCACTGGGAAGCAATTATCTAAGTCCCTTTCTCAACTGTCACCTTTACATAGCAGCATCTAGCATCTCAGAGGCTTGGCTAAGAGGGGCTTTACACCGTGGTGAGGCAGAAAGCCAAGAGGACCAATTATGCCTTTGCATCTAATTACCTTTATAGAAACCTACCACTTATGAGGCCAATAGAGAGGGGGGGGGGTGATGTGTTTCTTCTAGGTTAGAGAAATAGTTTGTCAGATTAGGTACCTCATCCCAGAGCCTTTCATAAGGTGATGGGGTTTTTATGCTCTTAAGGAGGAGTCAAGGAGAGGCCCATCATAAATCTAATTTGTCTAAAATGATGAGATTCTTTTCGATGCTACAGCACAGAATGTCTCCGATTTCCTAACTCACTGGTACTGTGCAGTCTAGGTGAGATTACTGAGAATCATCTTTCAACTCTTCTCTCTCCCTCTCTCTTTCTCTGGGTCTGTCTCTGTCCCTCTGTCCCCCCCCCCACAGAGAGAGAGAGAGAGAGAGAGAGAGAGAGAGAGAGAGAGAGAGAGAGAGAGAGATTATTCACTAATCCGTGCTATCAATCTTTCACTAAGTTTTGTGAAACTGGTGTGCTGGTGTTCACAAGACATCATTATGAAGCCTGAGAATATCTGTGCTTGGTGGAAAAGAAAAATTGGTTTCTGTTTATGATCAAATGAACACAGCGTCATGATGTGAAGTAGAACTCGGAGTGGAGATAAATGTAATTTGAGGGCCGGCAGGGACTTTGCAAATCACCACTGCTCTGTTGATAAATTCAGAATCCAGAGAGCCAGGGTACCATTGACAGTGGTTCTTCAAGAGAAAGATAAAATAAAGCAACTGGACCCTTTAGAGCCTTTGTTTATGGCCTGTCTGGGAGCTTTGATGTAACCCTGCCATGCCCTTATGCTGATTGCCTTCTTGTAGAACAAGAGATATTGACTGGAGAGTGAATGATGGGCAATACCAGCCCTTAGGAAGCACTCTTAAAGAGCAATGCCTTTAACATACCAATATGCTGCTCTCCTTCCTCTCTGCCATGTCTTTGTGTCTACATTGTTGGAACTCAGTTTGACAGTTTCTCTCCTTTTCTCTCTCCCTCTTTGTCTCCCCCTCACTCACAGGCTTCTCTGCAGAATGTCAAACAAAGATCGACACATTGATTCCAGCTGTTCGTCCTTCATCAAGACGGAACCCTCCAGCCCAGCCTCCCTGACGGACAGCGTCAACCACCACAGCCCTGGTGGGTCTTCCGACGCCAGTGGGAGTTACAGTTCAACCATGAATGGCCATCAGAACGGACTGGACTCGCCACCTCTCTACCCCTCTGCTCCGATCCTGGGAGGCAGCGGGCCTGTCCGGAAACTGTATGATGACTGCTCCAGCACCATTGTAGAAGATCCGCAGACCAAGTGTGAATATATGCTCAACTCCATGCCCAAGAGACTGTGCTTAGTGTGTGGCGACATCGCCTCTGGGTACCACTATGGGGTTGCATCATGTGAAGCCTGCAAGGCATTCTTCAAGAGGACAATTCAAGGTGAGTGCCACCCCACCCCACTCTATTTTTTTCCTCTGGTTCTCATTCTTTTCTCTGGTAGAAAACACAAATATACGGAGGATGCATGTAATAATTCCTCCCCAGCTGGTCACCATGCCCATTCCTGTTTCACTGTGGAGTTCTTTGTAGGCAATGATGATGACGGCATTTCAGAGAGCATAGTAGGCCTGAAGAACAGCTGAGCAGTGCATAGTAGGTTCTGTTCATACATTTCTCACAGATTTTAGGAAGTGATAAGATTTAAACTAATGTTTCTCTAATATGCTTTTGTTTTAAAGCCCCTTGGCAAGCTCTCCAACATGTGGCTTACTGTCTTCTTTCTCCGGAATTTCTGGTTCATTAGACATGTGGTGGTCCCTGAGAACTTACATCCCTCAAACACTGCCAAGGATGCTGATCCTGGCAGTCCAAGGGTTGCAGTTTGAGAAATACCACTCTTGACATATTTATCATGAACTCGACATCTTTTCCTTGTAGTTGGGTATATGTTTCCCATGTTTATGAATGAACTTATGCAAAAATTATACCAAGGAAATTGCATTTAAGTATAAAACAAACCTCCAAACAAATAGCAGTGATGCATGACCAAACCTTAACAAATCTGTAGATTTAGAAAGAATATGATTACTTCCTGTGCACAATGTTGAATGATTGGAATTTATATCTGCTTCCTTAAACTAATCATATACAAATATAGAACTCAGCATATATATGTATATATATGTATATGCAGAAAATTAATTTTCACCTTTTTTGTTCCCTTGTGACACACTTTTGAAGTATATGAGGGAAAGAAAGAATAATCACTTATTAAGGGTCTGAAACACACCAATTATTCTGTTCATGCTATACAGAGAGAGAGAGGGAGAGGG